GGGGAGAGGGGATGTGAGAGGGGGAGAGGGGATGTGAGAGGGGGAGAGGGGATGTGAGAGGGGGAGAGAGAGAGAATGAATGTAAGAGAAAAAGCGAGAGAAAGAGAATGAAAGAGAGAGAGGTCCCGAAATATTTTTAATACCCAGATTGCCGTTGACTTACCTTGCTTGAATGGTTATCAAGGGGGTTGAAAAATCTGTGTGATTTTCTTTAATATACAACGTATCTGGTGTTTTTAAAAACGTAGGAGCTTTTCTATTCGATCCTACAACAGTTATCTCAACACCAATATCTTGCTCCAAAGAAGGTTTTCCATGATCCATAGCACGAGCTTTCATTTTAAATTTATAATCAACAGGTTTCTGTAAAAATTGTTAAATAATAAATAAAATCAAAAAATTAATAATAATGTAGAAAAGGAAATTGGAGAGGCACAAATTTCAAATGTAGACATTAATGTAAAACGCTAAGCAAAATCAAATAGAATTTCAAAATCAATAGACTGCTTCTAGGAGAAAACAAAAGCAGACTGGACTTTAATAATCTGATTCTGTCAAAGAATGAAAGATTTATAAGGAATAGAAAACAGAAGGGAAGAAACAGTTGAAAAGAATGTAAGCGAACAGTTCATTAGCAGTGACATTAATAGACAACCAAAAAAGTCAATAATGCCAACTATACTAAAGAAGCAAAATTACACACACTCTAACAAAATCCGAAAACTTACATCAATACTCTTATTTAAGAATATCACTCCTGTATTTTCATCTATTCTGAAGTAGTTCATATCAGAGGCATCACGTTCAGACATGAGAATGTAAGAAACAATACTATTTTTACCATCATCTATATCTGTAGCAGATATTCTCATCACTTCTCGGCCGACTTTCAAATCTTTCGGAACAGATTCATGATAACTCTGTAATTTAAAAACGTTACTGCATTAAAAATCAAACCATTAAATATGCAATACAAGATACAAAACTTCTATAATTATTGAAAATGATGAACACCATCATACCACTTTATCAAATATTGGTCGATTGTCATTTATATCTTCAATAACAACTTTAATTGAGCAAATATCATCTAATTGTGGTCGTCCATTATCAGTTGCTCGCACCGCTATATAAACTTCTTTTTCACGACTAGGTTCATCACGATCAAATGGCTATGGAGTCAAAAACATGAACTTTGACAGTTATTTCAATCAATATCACTTAGAGATACAATGAATGCATCAGTACACAACAACTATAGTACCTGTTTTGTAGTAATTTCACCAGTAACATTATCTATTCTAAATTTTTCACGTTCACCAAGGGCAGTGACAAAAGAATATGTAAGGGTACCACCAGCATCAGGTGGATCTCTGTCTTCAGCTTGTACCTGGAAGAAATAATTTCCCATAGAAGCAAAACAAAATTGCAACAGGAAAAATTGGATCCCACTATCAATTATAACTAGCAGCATTGCTCACATTCTTACCGTTAATACATGACGACCAGGCTCTGTTTCTTCTAGAACAGATGGCTGATATTTTGAACAATTCTTGAAAGTTGGTTTACTATTGCTCTGAACGGAAACAGTTCCTCTTCCTTCCTGCAATTAATAATTATGTCCTAATTGGAGTGCACAAGCCACAATCTATATAACATGCTAAGAATAGAATAATGACAAAAAATGCACATCTTACGTTTAGTTGTGCATAACAAGGTGGTAGGAACAAAGACTTCACAGATTTGGAAACAATCAGAATACGGCGCTTCAGTCCGAAACGACTATGTAAAGCAACCACAGTTTGACAGTTGTTAGATCGGTTACTGCTGCTACAATGGCAAGTTATTACGAGTTACGCGCGTTTGAACGTAGTGTAACTGTCGGCGCAAAAGAGATGGGGCATAGGATCTCCGAGGTCACGATGAAATTTGGAGTTCCCCGTATGACCATTTCATGAGTGTACCATGAATCGTATATCGGGAATCCGGTAAAACATCAAACCTCCAGCACGGCTGCGGCCGCAAAATGATCGTGCAAGAACGTGGCCGACGACGACTGAGGAGAATCATTACACGTGACAGAAGTGCAACCTTTCCGCAAATTACTGCAGATTTCAATGCCGGACTATCAAGTGTCAGCGTGCGAACCATTCAACGAGACATGTAAGGTATCAGAAAAGGAAAAAATGAACTACATGTTGAGAACACTGCCAGAATCGTAGTTATACTGGTGATTTAATTGTTGTTCTGAAAGAAGAAGAAAAAATTGTAGAAATCGTAAAAAATAAGATCCAGATGATGAAATTGAGAGATCAAGATGAACATTCAAGTACGAGATCCAATGCTTTCAACAGTGAACGCAAGACGAGCATGACGGAAGAGCAAAATTATTATCAGACTGGCCGAGGCAGAGGGTGTGGAAACGTGGCGGACAACTCAGAAGAAACAATCGAGGTAATTTCAATCAACAAGGAGGTTACTATAATTGGCAACGTGATTGTAACGAGCAGCATGGAGGTTATAACAACTGGCAACGTGGCCGAGGCGAGCAGCATGGCGGTCACTATCAAGGCGGCAGAGGCAGCTATCGGCAAAACGGACACAGTATGAATAGTTTTCCGACAGAAATTCAATCTATGGGGGCGTGTAAAGAGACAGGTAACAAAATTGAATCACAAATCGATTGGTTACTTGATAGTGGTTGTACAGATCACGTAATTAATAATTACGAATATTTTTCTGATTGTGCGATTTTAAAAAAACCTATAGATGTTAAAATTGGAGATGGTAATTTTTTTAAAAACTACTTAAGTCGGACATGTAATTACCTATTTTTTAGTTTATGATAAAAAATTTCAATTGAAATGCGTAATGTATTTTATGTTGAGAAAATAGATAGAAATTTGATTAGATATGCAAGAATCACAGATAATCATAAAATTGTATCGGTAGATAATAATTCCAAAATTTTTAATCAAAACCACGAGTTAATTCCGATTGCTAGGAAAGAAGGAAGATTGTATAAAATGACTAGTTCAATCAAGGTTGAAGTATCTAATGTAAATATCGCGAGCGACAAAGTCGGTATTACATCAAACGAAAAATGACATCGTGTATTAACACGATGTCACAAAATGACATCGTGTATTTCAACTATTTGCAAACATTGTGTAAAGATCAACTAATGAGTGGCATATCTGAAATATTAGAATAAGAATTAATGAAATGCAAGACACGTATTGAAAATAAAATGCATAATTAATCTTTTGATAAGAATAAAAGCGGCGCTAAAGAAATTTTAGAAATTGTTCACATTGATTTAAATGGGCCTCATGCAAAAGCAGGTTTTAATTGAGAAATTTTCTTTCGTTTATTGATGATTACAGTAAAATAGGTAGAGTTTATATCATTAAATCAAAAGATCAAGTTTATGACTTTTTTATAGAATACATAAATTAAGTCGAAAATTTGACTGGTAAAACTATTAAAAAATTGAGATGTGATAACGGAAAATAATATTTGAACAAAAAATCTATGATTTGATTAAAGAAAAAGGAATTTTTTTGAATGCTTGTTTTTGAATGCTGAGGAGGATGACCAGAATAATGAAAATTACCCATGAAAACCGGAGGAACATGAACATTTACGAAGTGTTGAACTTGAATGACCAAGAATAGACATCGTGTCCGTGAAATTGGCACCAAAACCACTGAAACCATTACCATTCGTTTGTACCTGGTTTGTACCACAAAACCATTCGTTTGTACCAAAACCACTTACAAGATACAGCACTTTTTATTGTGGTGGTTCCAATTTCAAACTGGCACCGCCACCATCGTAAAAATAATTGATAACATTATAAATCGTTTGTAGCTCGTTTGTACCTCGTTTGTACCTGATAGTTCCACCAGAATTTTCGTTTGTACAAAAAAAATAATGAAGAAACAGCCATTTTAATGAGGCGGCGGGAGGTGAACTGCAGCTCTCCCACCATTCTCGTCACAGCAACCGTAGAAAATAGTCAAATCATATTCAATTGTACCTGGTTCGTACCGGATAGTTCCACCAGAAGTTTCGTTTGTACCAGAAAACTAATGAATATACAGACATTTTAATGAGGCGATGGGAGGTGAACTCTTATCTCCATTTTCGTCACAGCAACCGTAGAAAATTGTGAAATCATGGTCAATCTATTGTACCTAGCTTATACCGCATAGTTCCTCTAGAAATATTCAATACAGAGTTCCTGAGTTATGTGCTCGATTTCTTCGCTCATGCATATATTATAATATCAGCCGTGTGAGTACTATGTAATCCAATGTTCCTCTGACGTTTCTCGGCACCTATGTCAGTTCGGCCGATTTCACGATAAATAAAGCCAGAGATTTTATTTTAAAGAACAGTGAAACCCATTTTTCAATACAGGGAGATAACGCTTAGCAATGTCTTCTCCCTTGACTCAGCTCTCCATCGGATCATCGCTGTTATCAGTTCTGCGAAAGGAATCGATCTGTCATGACGCTCATTAACGCAGCGCATCCCGTGAGATAATTTCTCACACGCGAGCAACCGCGTTTTATTGCGACATCTTTATCGAAGCGAGTGTTTAGAATTTCTTCCGGTGATTCATTCTAGCTTGCTCGTTTCGAGGTTGCGTGAAGGTCAGAAATGTTTTAGAACTCATCTTTATTGTGTTCCTTTTTTTAGTATTCCTTATATCAAAGGTATGATTCATAGATTTGGCAAATATATCTTTCTGTACACTTTTGCGGTATTTCCCGTTAGTAACATTTTGTTTTTTTTACAGACAAGCATATGGCGGAAGGGAAAATATTAATGTGGTTAGAAGAAGAGGAAAATAAATATGCTTTGATTGATATTGTAACGTTTCTTGGTGGTGAATTAAAACACACTCGTATAATTTAACAACGTTTATTTGTAAAGAATAATATACTAAAAACTATTTGATCTATTTACAGATATATTACACAGTACTTGTGTTCTTCATTTCCTTTTTTCTTACACACTACTCCGTTTTCTTGATTATTTATTTTCACAGTTCACTTCTTATACACTATTTATTTACACTGTTCTCTGCAATCTACAGTCCTATGCACTGTCCACAGCACTGTCTACGGTCCACTGCGCAGACCACAAATCCCTGCGTAGACCACAAATCCCTGCGCAGAACGCACTTCCCTGCGCAGACCACAATTCACTGCGCAGTACAGGGTCCACTGCACTGTTTTTTTTACTGCGATGTACACTTCACAGCTCAGCTTCACTGCAGACTTTAAACTGCTTACTGCTGTTCACCCACTGCACCACTGTTCACCGCAATGCACACTTTACAGCACAGCTTCCACTTCAGACACATTGACGGACTGAATGCTTATTCACTGATTACATACACTAACTGATTCGCGGCTGCTTACTTCCGACTACTTACACTGACATACACTCACTGAGTTACACTGACTGACTGCTTACGGACTGACAACGTGACTTACACTGACTCGCGACCGCCGGCAGCGGCGCATTTATACCTGGCCGGCGCTCGTCCTGATACACCCGGCACATTCTCCACCTTTCCCCGCGACTCGCGAAGTCCAGAACCGTCCAGTTCGGGCGAAGGGGGGGGCGCCATCAGATGAAGCAATCCGCGCGCAGCGAATTCAGGCAGATGATGCAATATTCGTTACAATATGATTTCTGACACAGACAGTGAACCCGAGCTGGAAGATCTTGATATCGAAACAGATCAGTCAGATGACAGCGATTCTGAGAGCTGATTGGGAGCTGCAACTCAACGAGTAAATCGCGAAACGTGGGTAAAGATGGATCAACATTCTGGTTGAAACACAGAATGTCTTCAACAAAGAAGACACGACAGAATATTGTAACGCAGCTGCCAGGTGTGAAACGTGAGTGCAGAATCTTGAAAACGGTTCTAGAATGTTGGAAAGTGTTCTATACTGATACTCTTATCTCTAATATTGTTGCGAACTCTAACATAGAATTAGATCGAATGGGATCTTCATATTCACAAAATTCACGGGACAGTCCGCGAACAGACTTTGAAGAAATGTCGGCGTCTATCGGAGTTCTGTATCTTGCTGGGGTAAAAAAGGAGCAACACCTAAATGCAGATGAACTGTGGGCCACTGACGGAACTGCACCTGATTTTTTTATTGCAGCAATAAGTAAACGAAGATTTTACACTCTTTTGCCAACAATTAGATTCGATGATAAACTAACAAGGACGCAAAGAAAGAAGGAAGACAATTTGGCCCCAATAAGATAAATATTTGACCGGTTTGTAAGTGCTTGCATAAGTAGCTACAGTCCAAATGCTTACACCACTGTAGACGAAATGCTATAATAATTTAGAGGACAATGCAAATTCAGGCAGTACATCCCGAAAAAGCCTGCTAAGTATGAAATAAAGATGTACTTTGTGATGCAAGAACATTTTACACAGTCAATATGGACATAAATCTGGAAAACAACTTGAAGGACCATATCAGATTTCCAGTGATGTCAGCAGTGTACGATTGATACGTCCAATTGACAACACAGGAAAAAATGTGAGAATGGACAATTATTTCTCTTCGGTATTGCCTGCTAATACTTTACATATGAATAATCAACTGACACTAGTAGGAACTAATGGAAAGAAACGAGAAATTCCTCCAGAACTTCTATTAGTAAAAGGTAGGCCAATGCTCAGTAGTATGTTTGCTTTTGGACAGAAACTGGGAAACCGGAGTCTTCTTTGCTCGTATGTTCCTAAGAAGAACAGAAATGTATTTATGATTTCTACCATGCATGATGACGATGTGATTGATCCCGAATCTGGAGACCAAAATAAATAGGAGATAATAACGTTTTACAACCTTACCAAAGAAGGTGTAGACGTTGTTTATCCCCTCAAATCAGAATATTCTGTTTTAAGAATAAGCAGACGTTGGCCCCTCACATATTTTTCATTTTGATGAGCATTGAAGCAATCAATGCTCAGATCGTTTATAAAACAAATACCAATGACATAATGTCTCGCAGAAAATTCCTGACTCAGCTCAGCGTAATTATTGCGAGACCTCACATATTGATGCATGCGTCAATAAGTAACTTGTCACTTCGTTTGAAGGACAAAATTAGAAGTGTTACTGGGGTTGAAGGTCCACCAAATAATGAAAAGGGGGATCTTGAAACAGAGAAAATAAAATGCGCTTATTGCCCAAAGAGGAAAAACAGATATACGCAGCATCGCTGCAATATTTACTCTAATGCCCTGTGTAAAGAATAGCAGGAAAGACTTCTGTAAAGTATGTAGCTCTGAGGAAGCTTACTGTAGTTCTTCATAAATATTTCAATTTTATATTGTGTGGATTTTTAAAAATGTATTAGTCATTATGATTTACCTATTTTAAATGTATTGTCTTAAGAAA